TGCAGGCCAAGAGACCCTAGCTTAGTATCATCTTCTCCCTGCCCCCCCCAACTTTAAAACAAGGGGTGGAAATCAGCTCACATATTCATTGTGAACATGAATGAGATAAAGCACTCTTCATAATTAAAAAATGGATATACAAGTTTCATACCAAAAAAAATAGAAACTGCTTTAAAAATAGGCAAACAAAAATTGCCACATAGATTCGGTCATATTGTGCATAATTATTTAAGCCCTATTTAACACAAAAACTAGTAAACCAGCTGGTTGCACTGGCTTATAATCACTGGAATTAAAACACACACATACGTACACACAACTATACAATGCAGAACCACAGCATGGTCAGAGTGTAACCTACATCATCCCATGTCCACTCCTCAGTCCTACCTAACAGGATTCAACATAATCTCTTGAACTTCATTGATCCTAAATAACCAATAAACACTCAGCAACGTCATTTGTAAGCAAAGTTATCCAAGCATTGACAGGTCTGATGGATGCAGATATAGAGAGATATTAGATTAAAACTGTGGATTGCTTTGAAATCATTGTAAACACATTTATACGCTAATCCTCTTCTGCTCATCAGATTTCATTTCCTATCAGTTTCTGCTTCCTTCTGAAACAGAATTTCACTTAAAGATAAGTGAGATATGACCCGCTTTCCTTAAAACCTAAGAGATAAAATTGCTAAGGAACATCTAATTAGTTGCAAGGGAGGGGAATCAGACAGACTGGAATTGGTTTCACTGAAGTTCCATCCTTCATGTATGAAAATATGTGCTTACTCTGGTTTCAAGGAATTTGTTTCTCTTGCGAATGCAATGCTCTCTTTCCCTATCCTTTCAAAGCCACTGTGACTTGCATCAATGGGCTTCCATGTGAGTGGGGCGGAAATCTCACTGCCTTTTGTATGTACTGAAGCTTGCCCTTCATCTGTTTGCTACCAATAAAAAGTAGCATAAAAAAACTATTCAGGGAAATTCCTATGCAGATATGCCATCATAAACAACAAAGACAGACACCTCAGCACAGACTTTGGCGTCTCTGAAATCACCCAAACACAATCAATGTTTTCATCATGTACCAGGAGTGTCAGCTTGGCCCTGTGACCGTGGGTGCCCAGTGCCATGGGTGCCATGCAGTGTGCATGGCCCTGGCACCAAAATTTGAGGGTGCCTGGCCCCTTCATGGGGAATTTTGTGAGTGCTCAGGCACCCAGGGAGTTGGCACCTATGTCATGTACCCAAGATGATGCCAAGCATCACTGTCAAATTTGCAAATGTGTTTTGTATTTCTGGAAAGGAGGGGATCTATCTCCAGCACGTGTGTTACCAAGACCATAACTTTCAGTTGCCATTCCTTTTTTGATTTATGACAAAATAGCTTTTCTTCTGTCTGGGTGCTCTGTGAGTTAGTTACAGAACCAGAATGCAGTTAGAAAAGACCACAAAGCCCTGTAGTCTAAGCCGCTGCACAAACATAGGAGACTCCATCCACCAACTCTCCACAGATTGAGCATAAGTGGTCCAAAACATAGGTCCCAACTACACAAAATGGTAGATCATGACAGTAATATGTAAATATGTGTTTATTTTATTTAGTATTGCATGTGGGTTGTTTTTTTCATTGATGAATTCATTGTTTACCTTCTGTTGCGCTCCTTTGGAAGAAAGGTGATTCATTCATAACAATGGTGATGATGTTTGGAATCTTATGAGTGGAACACACCACACAAACCTCTTCTTTAAAATGCAGTTGGGCATTTGGAGTGTGCGACAGGGAGAAAGGGGCCTTATGCTTTCCCCCATGCCCAATATAGATCACCTCCCACCCCCCACAAGCTTCTATTAGCAGCAGAAGAGGGAACACACAGACATACAATTGTGCCTTTAGGTTTTCTCTTCTGTGGCTTATCACAGCTTCAAAGGAGATTTAAATCAGGCAACTGGTGCAGGGACAAAGGGCTTATCCCTGCATTGTGGCTACAATTCCAATCTCTCTCTCTCTCTCTCTCTCTCTCTCTCTCTCACACACACACACACACACACACAGAGCAGCTGATTTTCAACAAAGGAAATTACATTGGGAGTTACAGAAGTCCATCATAACATGCCCTTTGGCCTGTGGTGGCAGAAAGAAGGTCCATCATAAAATGCCTGCAGAGTAAATCAATCCAGGTGACTCAAGCAACCCTCATGCACAGAAGAACTGTACCAGGATACCCCAAGTGATGGCTAAGATGGATTTAAAGCATTTAATCACATGTACAACTTCACTTGGCAAAGGTAACAATGTTTACTTTAGCGGTCAGTAAGAACAGGATAACAGTGGAAACCAATTTGCAAAATCCCACCCCACTCTTCCAAACTTCCCATTCAGACTCTGGAGTAGTCTTCTGAGACCTGGTGCCTTCCAGATGTTTTGCACTACAGCTCACATCATCCCAAGACTGATGTAGCCCAAAACCTTTGGAGGGCACCTGGTTGGAGAAGGCAGAGTGACCAAGGAACAGGATCCAGCAGAACTGTAAATAAGAGTAAGCTTGATTCTAAAGTACAAGGGTCAATGGAACTACAAGGAGAACAGGTTGTCCCTCGCCCTCGTAGCGTCCTTCAGTTTTGAACTTCTCCCATATAACTGAATGGCTGCTACTCACTTCAGTGGGGTAGATATGAAAGCTTCACACTTCATGACAATTTGCAGGGAAAGCACAACTGGATGGGACTATTACAATGTGTTCTACAGACAATGCAGAAACTTCAACAGGTACCAAATGCAGCAGTCCCCTTAGTTCCCAAATAACCGAAAGACTGTATCCATCCCTGTGGACCTTTTTGGGTATTAAGATCTGCAGAGGGTGTCTTGGTAGGTCTACCACCCTCAGAAGTGTGGGAATGCCAGGCTGGGAGGGGGCTTTCTCTGTGGCTGCCCCTAAATTGTGGAACTTCCTCCACTGTGGAGATGTGTTTAGTATCTTCCTTGTACAACTTCTGACATATGCTGAAGATACACCTCCCCATCCTGGCCTTTAACAATTAAGATATTTTGTAGGACCTACCTCTTTTATCAAATTTAAACTGCTTGGTTCTATCTGAAACAGTTTTTCTTGCTTTCTAGCAGTAATGGTTTTATCTTGTTTTCTGTTTGTATATTCTGTTTTCCTATTGCAATCTGCCCTGAGACCGTATTGTTAATTAACTATACCTGGAACTTCACTCCTGTTCATGGGTGGACTGCTTTCACGTGTACGAATCCTGTAGGGCAGCAATGTGTGTCTGTATGCAGAGGACAAAGAGATGTGCTGCATTCCCACCTCCCTGCAAAGGTCCCCACACACTACCAGTCATTGCAGATAATACTGTGGGCTAGATAGACCATTGGTCTAATAAGGCAGATTCCTATGTTCCATGACACATTGGACCTCAACCTCTAGAACAGTGTTTCCCAAACTTGGGCCTCTAGCTGTTTTTGGACAACAACTCCCATCATCACTAGCTAGTAGGACCAGTGATCAGGGATGAAGGGAATTGTAGTACAAAAACAGCTGGAAAGGAGAAACAAATTTGGGAAACACTATTCTAGAATCATATTTGGGGGAACTTGTTTTTATAAGTGGCCTTAAGGGCTCTCTAGACCAGCGTTTGGAAACCTGTGATCCTCTAGATGTTGGACTCCATTTCCCACAAGCCCAAGACAGCATGGTCAATGGTCAGAAATGATGGGAGGGAGCTTGTAGCCTTAACAACCTCTGGAGTGCCCCAAGTTGCCCAGCCTCAAATCAGACAATAATGTAATATAATATACAGCCCTGTCTGGGAAGTATGTGGACAACTTTTGCCAAATGACATTCAAAACAGTTTTTTCTTATATTAGAGATAATACAAGAATCCTTGTACAGTTCCTCACTAATGTCTGTTACGACACAGGTTAATGTCTAACACAGATAATTTGATGGAGGTCACGAAAGCAAGGACACTGTAAAGACAAGTCAGCCCATATCCTGTCTGCTTTTCTTTCTTCCTTTTTTCCCCTTAATACCAGCAAATCCTTCTTTCCCCATTTTGATATTTTGTAAATTTCCTTAATCTTCTTCTCATCATAACCCTTCATCCTAATACATTTTCTGCAATCCTGACCAATTTTCAGAGCATCCAATTCAAAACACAGTACGTTATGCATTTATTATTCAAGCAGGAGATTGCAATGCTTTGTTGTTGTTGTTGCTTTATGCTACTTAATTGTAGTTAAAGGCAAAATTAGTAAATCCCTGACAGGTTCCCAAATAAAATTAGCTTTAAAACAAACAACACAAGCATTTATCAAACAATAAATGTTTATCTGAAATTTGAACTCCTCTCTAGTTCAAGAAGCAACCTCTCCACCCCCACCCACTGCACACATTTTAAGGTTTTCATTCAACAGAAATGTACCAGAAGCATAGCATCAAATCTGCTTAGAACAGATTTGTATTAAGCTATATTATGAAGCCTCCTCAGAGCAGGGAACGTCACACTGAATGTAATGAATGGAGGGGGGAAATGAATAGATCAATTTCATTGTAGTTTGGTATGGTAAACTTTTGAGTTAACTTTACTTGGAAGCAAGTTGTACTGGTTTATATGCGCCTTCCAAAAATTGGCGCTGAAGCAGCTGTAACAGAGCCTAATAACCTAACTCTTTCCCCCCTTGTGTTCCTTCCCTCCTCCATCCTTCCACACAGGCACCCCACCCTTCCTATCACAGTTTCCAAACTAACCATGGTTGGTGTTATGTGGGTATTTACGGCCACCATGGTTAGCTTAACCCAGAATTTCCAAATCTGCTTCTAATCCCAGCTGCAACTTGCTATTGATTCTGCCACTGAAATAAGATTCTGTTTTTGTTATATACATATGTATTTATTGGCGTTTTTAGCAAAATTTATGGGGTTGTGAGTTTCCATGAACAACAATACTGTAGTATTCCATGCACGCAAACACTTTTGCACAATTGGCTCATGTTAATATTCCATTTTATTCCCATCCATTTGCATGTTTCCAATCTAGTAAACAAGATGTGCATCGCCTATATAAAAGCTGCTGTAGTGAAAAATAAAAGTCACTGGCATTGCTTTTTAGTATTTACCCTTTTTGTGCTTTTCACTAAAAGCATTGAAATGTATCGTCTGACAGGTTTCAAGGCATGCCTTCACCATTATTTTCTACATATACTACTGAGAACTTAAAACATGGACCTAACACTATGGAATCTGTACACATTTAATTATGCTGAGCATGATCCAGAACTAGTGAAATCCATTGGTATTTAGCCACTGACATCAGTGAGTTTAAGTAGGTTCTTTCTACACAGCCTATTGTTTATTGTGCATTACAGTTTACTTATTATTTTTACTAATACTATTACTACCACTATTACTGTGGCTAGTGTTGCTTCTGTTAATACTACCACTACCACTGCTGCTGCTGCTGCTACTACTACTATTACTACTAGTACCAATAATGTAATTCCCATGTAAAGGAGCTGTTTAAGGTTATCCCAGTGGTGTATAAAAAGAAAATCAGATTTGCCTATGTATAAAAAATATTCTTTAGGAGTTTGTTATACTACCGATGGAGATCTTTAGCTGCCATGTTTGCCTTCTAAAAATAACATTCATGCTCTGCAGTTACATATTATTAGATAGTAGGAGTATGCACTGAAACAGTCACAAGTACTTTCAAATGGAGGGAGGGATCCATAATCAATTAAAAACCATTCATTTTAATGAAACAATAATGAAAAAGGCATGTTTTAAAGCAGCCCATATCCTTCCTCTACCTCACATGTTGACGCAACCTCATGATGACCATTATTTATAAGAGACAGAAAGGGTTAAGCAGCAAATTGGCACTGCAATCCTAAATGCACTTTCTTGAAAGTAGCACAAGCTGATTAGAGCGGATGACCTGATTCACACATACACCACTTGTTGACTGGCTTGCATGTGTGAATAGTTCATACAACATAACACAGCTGCTGGGACGTTTTAATACCACTTCAAAGCACAACACTTTTCAGTGGAGTCGGCTCCCAAACTGGTAAGTAGCCAGTCTTCAGGTGTACAATGTCCACATGTAGAAAAGCCAAGGGGCATACACACATGTGTGAACCAGCCTGGCGTTACATCCCAGCAAGTGTATTTAGGATTATCGATTTCAAACTCAATCCACCAAGTGCTGCTCCCACATTAGCCTCAATGAAGTAAGAATGAGTTGCTCACAGACATTGTTCCATGGACTGGAATCCAACTTCAGCACTTCATTCACAGCTTAATCTGATAGAAGTAGCTGCCTACAGTAAACAACTATGGCATTGAGTGGTATGCCCTGAATTTTCCAAGCATTTTCACAATAGCAATGACATCTCTGCACTGAAAGGTGGTCAGATTTTACAAGTGTAAAGCACAATACAGTGGTCAATGGGGTTTTGCTTCAGAAGTCTACAAAGAAATGTACATTTAAATAAATGCAAACTTACTGCCAAAGCTTGTCTGTTTCAACAGGCAAGCATATGTCCATGTGAAGTGAACAATGAATACCATTCTAAAATGGAAGCAGCCTTGTTTTCATCAATAACAATAAAATGTGTTCAGTCTTAACAGTTTCCTATCTGTTAGTTATGGATTACCTTGGTTCAAAGCTCAGTGTGCACTGAGCTTTTAAGACCAATCTAGTCCACTGGTTATCCCTGTCCTTTGTGCTTCCCAATGCAGCTCAAGTTGCCTTGAACATTTAAGGAAAGACAGTGTATAAATAAATAAACAATAGCCCTGTGTAGTTAGTTACACATGGCTAGTTGCACCAAAACGCGGATGGAAATGGCCGCGTGTACATTCTATTGAAAGCAGATGACATATCCATATTCAAATCTGATTTTACTCCCACCCCAATCCAGAGGAGGAGATTCCTTGATATGGACTGGGCTGGGCCTGATTTTAGGATGGCAGACTAATGTGAATATGAAGGAAACCTAGATGTGGGTTAAAACCAATTTCACTCGCATTTCAAAAGTGTTCTGTCATGGAAAGCCTGGTGTGTCAGGGATAGTTCGTATGAAAGGTTGGGAATTATGTGCGCCCGCTTCACACATTACAGTAGAAGCAGGGGGGGGCAAGAAGTGTGAGGCACTCCTTCTCCTTTCCCAACTTCCAGGCAATTTGTGAATTGGATCTCAAATCAAGATATATGCACAGTTACTGCAATGCACCATGCATTTGATCATACAGACAACCCAGTGAAAATGGTCTGAGCCTTGAATAAGTGCCAATTTATCCAATTAGATTGTTTATGGGATGGCCTCCGTGACCTATAAAGTCCTGGTGAAAGCAGGGGAGGGGATCCCATTCACATATAGGGGATTTAACATAATGCAATCAATACTTAGAAATATTACGATTTCTGTAATCTAAATTTTCCAGGCTACTTAGTTGGTTTCAGTGACTTTTTGGGTTCCCAAAACAAATTCCTATGTGTTTATGTACTTGAATGCTTTAACCAATTTTTGTTTGTGTGTGACTGTGTGTGTGTGTGTGTGTGTGTGTGTGTGCAGACAACACTGTCAACGTCCAGGTAGTCACAATTATATACTTGAAAAGCATACTTCTCTGTCCCTGAAGGGCTCACATTATGAAAAATGATAAGGAAGTTAAGGGTAGAGAGAGAGAGAGAGATTATATATAATATTCACACACACATGCATATACACACAAATAGTAAAACCTGCATTTTCTGGATCATGCTGCATCTCCTACTTATCCAAATTCATTGCCCTACTATAGCACCATGTCATTGTAAAAAACAACAACCCAAAATCATATAAATGTTTCATATCCAAATGTTTTGGATATTATCCAGGCCATGAATATAAAAGAGGCTGTAATATAATAATCCCTATGTTCTAGATAGATATCCATATAAATTTCATCTTCATATAACAATGCAATGCTAGTAATATATATTTATATATAGTATGTATATATAAAAGAAAGTTAACTTTCTATTTTACAAAAAGGCAATTATTTTATTATCAATATAGTTATCAGCTGCTTTTTTTACACCATTGCAGTAACTAAAGGAAAGAGGAAAGGGGAAGCTTGATTAAAATAAAAAGTAGATATAAAACCCTGTGGTTTCAAGTTGGGATCCCTTGCCAAGCCTTTGACTAAATACAGTTAAATTCTTTAACTTCAAGTATGGCACTTATATAAATAAGAGCAAAGAGGCGGTGACATATATTCACAGTTAATCGCGATAAATTCTACTCCTTTGGTATATGTGTCCAAAAAAAAAACCTGTTGGTAAATACATAACTTGGCTGAACTTTAGATCAATCATTTGTATGCATATAGCAGGGAGCTGTGGTTTATTTATTTGTTTATGAATTTGGTAGATCACAACTAGCATAATAATGATTAAGGTCTCTGGTGTAAGTAGGCAGGCAAACAAAAAATAAATAAATGGCAAAAGTATTTTCAGCACTACTGTTTCTTGTGTAGTTGGTTTTTGTACAAAAACAAGGATAGAAAAATGCTAACCATACACAGTAATCAACTGTGTGATGCTGACCATGTAAAGTCAGGCATCCATCAGATGAAGCTCATGGATGTACTAACAGGCTTCACGGTCAGATGCCTGGACAGTGCAAATCTCTCCCTCGGCTTTTATAGACATGCTTGCAATTGAATATTGCTATGACCCCCTCCCCAAACCCTCCCTCGAAAAATGGCTCCCTTGCCGTTTTTCAATATAACATTCTAGACACATTTCCCATCAGTTAGGAACATTTTCTTGTCCTCACGACGGTTGAAAAGATGCTCCAGTCAACAAACAGCAATGGACCACTCGGGAGAGGAGATAACTGAGCTGTAAGGCCAGATTGAAGTTGTTGTATAGCTGTTCTCTTCATCAGTCTTTGATTTAGCACACAGTTTTGTATCTGGTTTAGAAAGTGCAGATCAAGTACCTTAACGGCTTTCTTGGTGGTTTGAGGAAATGATTGCTTCAGCAATGTCCTTTCCCTAATGCTAATGCGCGGTAGGTCAGTGATCCCCAGCAAAGTCCTCTGGTTCTGCCACAGCCTCACACGTAAGCAGAGTCACTGGACTGAGTCCTGCCAAAGTTAGGCACACTCATACGTGGCAGGTCTTTGTTTCTGATTTCATAAATGGATTTCCGTTTCGCTTGCACTCCCCTCACTGCCATTTTGATCTTTCTCCAGCCCAAGTGGTTCAGTTCGGCCAAATTGAGCACCACACAAATGCCACTCACGGCAAACATGAAGACCAAGAAGACTGTCTTCTCAGTGGGCCTGGAGACGTAACACTCCACTTCCTTAATGCAAGGATACCTGTCACATTCGTACATGGATGGGACATTGAATCCATACAGGAAATACTGTCCCACTAAAAACCCAATCTCCAGGGCATTTCTGAAGACCACCTGAATGATATAAAACCTAGAGATGCCTTCTTGCCGCCTCATCTTTGACTTGGTGGTTCTAATAGCTGGGTTAGGAATTTCCTTTACTTCCAAGCAGTCAGGTTCTGCCTCCTTGGTGGAGTTCTCCGTGTTCTGCAGCACCCCATTGACAATGGTATTCTTGATCTTCTTGCTGTCGTCCCTCTTCATGGAGTCCTGATCCCTGTCCAAAGTGAGGAAGACAGTGGAGTACCTCCTTTCCCTCTGCTTGGCAGATTGGTGAACAGAATATGTTATAAAGCAGAGGCTAGGAGTGCACACCATGATGATCTGAAATACCCAGTATCGGATGTGAGAAATGGGAAATGCTTGGTCATAACATGCCTGGTTGCAGCCTGGCTGCAAGGTGTTGCACACAAACATAGTCTGCTCATCGTCGTACACAGTTTCTCCTACAATGGCCACAATAAGAATCCTGAAGATCACCACCACGGTCAGCAGAATCCTATAAAACAAAGGTTAGATGAGTGCACATTTACAGGGCAGAAGAGGAATACTGAAAAAAATCACTACTATTTTAAAGAAGGCACATGAATGGAGTATAGCTCTGCTGGTAGCCACTAGCCAAGCTAGTCAGAAGCACAACTTCTGTGTTCAGAGACCGTGTGATTATTATATGGTAAAACCATAAAAGTCATGATGGGTGCTCAACTTGCTCCTGTCTGGCCACAGTCAGAGATATCCATTAGATATGTATTAGATGCCCTAGCAGGCATTGCTGATGCCCTCGAAGGGGTTCAGCAATCTGCCTCTGTATATTCTTCCCACAAACAAGTGTAAATATTTTTATTTGCAAAGACCTCTCCAGGATATTACTTGTTATCCCCTCCTTTTTTGCAATTTTTATTTACACTTCCTCTGTGGCTGTGCACTAGCTTTTAGGAACCATTTTTATTCTACATTAATTTGGGGACTTTTAAAGTAGTGAATGTGATTCACAAATTTATAAAATAACCAAACCGATGCACCACCGGTCAAATCCAGCATGGCATTTCTTATATTCTTTGAATTTAAAGAGGTTAAGAAAACGCAGGCTATTTTCAATCATTATGGGGAGCTGTCCAGTGCTGATCTTGTATCTCATTCAACCTTCTCAAACTTCTCCGCTTTTCTTAAGTGGCTTGACCAAACAAAAAACAAAAAATGATTGCCTAAGCAATGTACTTATCCATACGGATGTTTACAGCAAACAGAAGGAAATGCTTGCTTGGTTTATTTGAGCACAAATCTTACTTTGGCTTATACAAGGGAGAATCTATAACCACAATGACAGTTCTAAGCAGCCAGTTGTGTGCGTGTTTTTCTCCTGTACCTCAAGTGTCCGAAAACAGATGTCGGTCAAATAAAAGAGAGTGGCACCTCTCCCACTTTCTATGGTATGCAGCATATTGATCAAACCATAAATGAGAGGAGGGAAGGAAATCAAAGGTAAGGGAGCTCACTTGTCCTTACTTTACCCTTGCATTTTGCCAGCTGCAATCACCAGCTAGATAATAATACGACTCTTTGAAAGTGACTCATTCTAAATATTACTATTATTATTATTATTACTATTATGCTACCTAACAGCAAACATCATCCACATCTTCTGTCTCCTTTAAATGTGCATTCAGTCATTCGCTTTTCTTTTTTAATGAATAAGCCGACGGGGGTGGGAAGGGAAGGGGGGGTGGATTATATCGAAGGTTAAGAGAGTCCCGTGCACTAGCAGTGAACTCTGAAACAAAGCAGAGAAGCGATTTGGAGCGGGGGGAGAGAGCGCAGTCCTGTGCGGTAGCAAGTTTGCCAAAGAAATAATTGGGAATGTCGAAGGGGGTTGGGAATGGGGGTTGCTGGGAAATCCGGTGCTTCAAGGTGTCCGGTTGGGCTGCGGCTTCCTCCCCCCCCCCCCCAACTCCCCCGGTCCCGCAGGAATCCAGGGGACTTCCTTCCAAGGCGATGCCATTTAGGATGGCGGGCAGGGAGCGCGCGAGGGAGCGCAGCGTCCCCGTGGAGCTCCCTCCGCCGCAGGAGCCCGGCAGGGTCAAAGAGGGCGACGGGGAGGGAGGCGCGCCGGGAGCCGTCGGGCCGCTTACCTCCCTATCATAGTGGAGTGCTGCTGGACAGCGGCTTCGAGGAGTCTCTCTAGGATGGTCCATTCCCCCATCGCGGTTCATCGGGAGGCGAAGGCTCGGGCAGCGGCGGCAGCGCAGGAGCGGCGGGCGGCGGCTGCGCTCCGTCAGCCACGGCGGCGGTGGCGGCGGAGACGCGCGTTCCCGGCCCGAGCCGCCCGGCGTGCGCAGGGAGGGACGCTGCCCCACGGCCGGGCGGGCTGCCTGGCAGGCGGGGCGGCTGCCGGGAGCCAGCCTGGGCGGCGATCGCCTGGCGCAGCGCAGCCCAGGCGGAGGTCGCCTTCAGTGTCTCGCCGCCCGCCTCCCGGCCGCCTTTAAGTAGGCTCTGCTTGCGTCACGGCCAGGTTGGAGGGGAGCAGCCGAGCGGCGGCGCCACAGCCCGAGAGGGATCGCCAAAGCCGACCCCCACACAGCGCCGCCGCTGCCCCCGAGGACCCTTCCAGCGGGCGGGGTGGCGTGGGGTGGGCGCCCATCTTCCCCACCCCGAAGCCCGACGAGAGCTGCGCCTTTGGGGAGGGGGCGGGCAGAGGGATGGGGGGCCCCGACGACGCGCCTCGCCATCCACGGAGCAAGGAGGAGGTAACGAATGGCGCGGAGGGGACTGGGGCCTCGGGGGATCCCGAGACGCCTCGCCAGCCTCCCCGGGGCCGGATCCGGGCGCCTGCCTTTCTTCCGGGCTGTTTCCCGGGGACTTGGCCTGCGCCGCGTCCTTGACAAGGGAAGGCGTGTGGGGAGGGAGGGAGGGAAGGAGGGACGCTTTCCTTGCTCTTCGCCAGCCCAGCTAGACGGGAAGAGGAGGCGAGGCGAAGGCGCAGCAGCCTCCTTCGCGCCGGAAGGGAGGGGAAAGCGAGGCTGAGGCATCGGATCCCCGCAGATCAGGAGCTGACACCCCCCTCCCTCCCCACGGTTGCCGAGCAGGACGGACGGAGGGCCGCTGGGGACGATCGCTGCTCCGGACGCCAGGTCGGGGGGCGCCCTCGACGCCGAACCCCCCCCCTCCCCTGCGGAGAATGGCGCCTCTGCTTCCCCAGGCTGGGCGCGTGAGAAACCTCTCGCACGGTAAGAGCGCAAAGGCTGCCATCCTTTCCTTGGTCTCCCTTGGCTCTTCGCTGCAGCAGCTCTGGCAAAGGGAGACCCGAAGAGGACACGCGTTGAATGCGCCAGGAGCCCTCCTGCCCTGGGACTGGCTTGCCAAGTGGAAATGCCAGTCGCCAGCACCATCTGGGCACACCTGCTGAGGCCCCAGCAGCTAGGAAGGCCCACTCAGGAGGTACAGCTGGGCCTGGAGAGCTTGGGCCCCACTTGGTTGGAGGGGGTGCAACCTCATCTGCAACTTGCAAGGGAGGGCAGGTTCACACCATGCGTTTTAAAGGGTCTTTAACAGATGCTGCGCCCCCCCCCCAAGAATTCTGGGCTCCATAGTTTGTTATAGGTACTGAAAGTTGGGAAGAGACCCTCACAGAGCTACAGTTCCCAGTACCCTTAACAAACCACAGCTCTCAGGATTGCTGGAAGGGGGAAATCCGTGACTGTTAAAGTGATGTAAGGGTACTTTAAATGTATGTGGATGTCAACTGAGTTTTGGTGGCTGCAAATAATGGCCCAATCAGCCTGGATGTCGCTGAGCCTTCTCTGCACCACCCAGAGGGAGAGCACAGGTGAACTCGAGGAGCCTCAACATCATAAGAGAATAAGGCAGCTGGATCAGGCCCAAGGTCCATCTGGTCCAGCATCGTGTTCCCACAGTGGCCAACCAGATGCCTGTGGGAAAACCTCTTGATCTTTCACCCAATATAATGGAGGACATAGGGGCATTGCCTTACCAATCTCAGTCAATTGCCCGTCTTCTTCCTTACAAACAGGCCAAGGAGTGGCACCACTGGTCCGCTTCCTCCTTCTTAGTCTCCTCCTTGTAGAATTCAGCTGGGAGGAGAATGGGGACATTGCCTGTCATTGCTTCTGACTCCATGGACCTGTCCAGGTGTGGACACCAGCTGCAACTGCCTTGGCTGCAGGCAGGTGGAGGGATCAGTCACGGTTTGCCTCCCTCTCCCTCTGGGAGGTTCAACTTGCTCACACCCTCTGCCTCCCTGGGCTGGGCTGGGCTGCATGGGCAACAGGGCGCAGCAGGCTGCGCAGAGTGAGCAAGAGATCACCTGTGTAAAAGATCTGTGGTTGCTTCTTGCACCTCCTCTGGACATCTCAGTTTGTTTACCATCTCCCTCTGTCTCTGGCTGGCATGGGGTGGGTGAGGACTGAGGGCTGCGCTTGCTGGGCCCAGTTTGCACTCCTATGCCACCAGGAAGAGAGAGCCCACGTATGCTAAGCTAACAAGATGGTGGGCTGGCTGCTTTGGGCCATTTGCGCACCTGCCTGCTCTCTCCCTCCAGGGACCTGCTGCGGAAAGATTAAAGGGAGAGCAGGTGGACAGAGCCTGCAGCTAGTGCTCTTATATTCTCTCACTCTCCCTCCCTCCCTCTCTCTGCAGCGCCACAGGGCTCAGTCCCCTCACCCCACTGCCTAGAAAAAGGAGGGAGGAGAAAGCCACCAGCCTCTGTCTGGTGTGAGGAAACCTGGGTCCACTCAGGGGGCAAGAAGGAAGCCTCCATAGGCCAGAGAGAGAGCCTGGCAGACAATCATTTCTTCAGGTCCTCTTCCAGCTGGACTACCCACATGCCACCTACTATCCTGTGGGGAGGATTCCAGGAAAAAGGGGCATCATTGTCTCACCCCAGGGTGATACATCACCCACTGCCCCATGGGAAGGATGTTTTTTTTTAATATGTTAGTTTGTTTATTGTGCTGTCCAAATATGCAATTGACTGTTACTTGTAAGCTGCCATGGTAGGATTTGTATCCTGAAAGGTAGGAGATACATAACTGTAAGAAATAAAGTAAAATTAAGGTTCAGCTAGCTCATAGCAGCTTCTCCTGTCCTGTCTCTTCACACATCGTATTTTAAATATGTATTTCTAAGCATGCACACCTCTTTTAGGTGCACATTTCTAAAGAGGAGCCTAAAAAGGTAAAGTATGAATTCAGTAAACATATATTTTGCTCAGTTACACTTCTCACAGAGCTGTGATTGACTGAAGTTCCCTCCTGAGTGGACTTTCATTGGCAAACCCAGGATTGTCTCTTTGATGTGTGAAATGCTAGGGGCCAAAGAATCATTACTGAAACAGAGAGATCTGCTAGGGGCCAAAGAATCATTACTGAAACAGGTCTGCTGCCATCGTTAATATATGTGTACCTCGGCTAAGTTAGGTAGCCAAATAATATGTAAAGCACAAATACAAAGACTTAGATGGTATCATTTCAGTGTCTTTTAATAACTTCATTCTTTAAAAAAATTGAGGTTGGTGAGCTTCAAATTAGAGAATTACTCAGTGTACTCCATTTATATGATACAGCTATTTGCACTACACAAAATCTAGTAATTATTTGCAAAGGGGGCAGTTGTCTGTCTTTACAGGAGTGCAAAATGTATCTCACTAAGTCATTAGTAGTACAAATGCAACTAAGGGCGCATTGCAAATGTCATATTGTAAGTTTGATATGTACATAGCATGTACATATCTATGGGAAAGTGGCCTCATTTCATAATGTACTAGAGTGATGTGACATTGTTCCTTGTTATTAATGAACTCTCTCTGTGTGAGAGAGAGATTACTATATATCACATAAATAACAAGAAATAATATTACAATGCTTATCATTCCAGTACATTAACAAGTACAATTTTTTACAGTTATTTTCCACATAACATGTATGTGTGACCCTCCTTAATTAATTGCATTTGAACTACTAATGCATATTTATTTTCTACATCCCCTTATTACTATTATTACTTATGGGAGAATTCAACATAGTGCATAGCTGTCAATTCCCTTATTCCAAATAGGATTCCTTGCAAGAAAAGGGAAAAGTTGACAGCTATGACATAAGCTAAGCAGATTGCTCCATCAGCGCAAGCGTTTCTGCTTTCCTGATGGAATGATCTGCCCTCTCCCCCCCCCCCCCGTTCTGGGGGTTCTCCCAACCTCCTGCCAGTTGGCAGGGTGAAGGGGGCACACAAGGAAGGAGAGGGGGAAAGCCCTATAGAGCTAGTAGAAGTCCTTGTGCAAGCCTCTACTGCCAGGACTCACCAGCTGAATATCATTCTTAGATTTCTTACCCACCCTTCCTCATGAGGTCTCGCTATGTGTCACAACTATTTAAAAATACAATCTTTTAAAAAGTTAAGGGTAAGAGAAATGGGCGAGTCATTAAAAAAAAATGAGCCTTGGGTTGCAAAAATCCAGCATACATCTTCAGCACCTGACCAAAACTGAATAATGAAGGCTCCAGGTTCACCTCCCGGGGGAGGGAATTGCACAGTTTAGAGGCTGCAACAGAGAATGCCTTCTTGTCATCCCTCAAACTCCTGAGGGCAGCAGAACTGCCAGGAAAGCCCCCTTGGCTGATCTGACCCTGAGAGTCTGGGGGGAAGGATCAGTCTTTCTGATATTTGGGGACTAAGCCGTTTAGGGTGTTAAACATGAATGTGAGCATCTTGACTTGGGCCTAGAAATGAACTGGCAACCACCTTTCTTTTCAACTAACTCTTTGAAGTCTGTAGCCACTTGGGACAGTTTGTGGCCTTTATTACCAGTGCTACTTTTTCTAGAAAAAGAGAACCAGAACTCACCATGAATGCCTCCCTTGTTCTCTTACAATGGCATTGGCACCCACCTGAGAGGTGCCGGAACTGAGTTTTGGTGAGTTCCAAGTGGGGGAAAAGCCCTGGTTTTACCCATCTATACAGTGGTACCTCAGGTTAAAAACTTAATTCATTCTGGAGGTCCGTTCTTAACCTGAAAACTGTTCTTAACCTGAGGTATCACTTTAGCTAATGGGGCCTCCCGCTGCCGCCGCACGATTTCTGTTCTCATCCTGAAGCAAAATTCTTAACCCGAGGTACTATTTCTGGGTTAGTGAAGTCTGTAACCTGAAGCGTCTATAACTCAAGGTACCACTGTACTTCTTTATGTGGCTCTTTTACATGCTTGTGGTTTCTCAGCTGGTTCCTAGTTTCACCCATTTACCTAATAGCA